CTGAGTAATGACGCTGGTGACTCCAAACTTATAGGGTGAAGGCGGAGCCTGTCACCCGACGTTCAACGTCACCACGTCACCGGTCTAAAGATGTGATTAGAGGTGACTTCAGCCAGGCGCACGAGGGCACGCGTGTCCCATATACAACTGTGTGTTGTGCTTCGTTCCATTCCTTCAAGGAACCGTGGTCATATTCATAACCTTACGTTTTATATTGTGTGCTTTGACTTTAGTTTTATGTTTTGTTTTTCCTCCCCTGTATGGAGAAAAAGAGAGGAGAATTCTTTGGGTAAATGGAGACTAATTCCCGTGCTCCAAAGTTATTTAAGTCTGTGGTTCTCTCAGTGTGCAGGTTTCCAGCCCTCATAGCTCACATGTTACAGGGAGTATTTTGAAGGAGGTAAAAAAATTGATCCTTTTTGTTCGAGCACCACTTTTCTGTTTCTCTGTCAGGAGTTAAGTAAGGATTTTATCTTTTTTTTGTGTGTAGGTAAATATATGGTTAAGTAGATGGTTTTGTATGACAATACTTTAAATTAAATAAAACTAGCAACACATTACGCTCTGTTTTATTTAAAGAAGTGAGGAGTAGGGAGACGAAAAATTATGTTTTTTAATACTGAGACTGGACGAGTAGCTCTCGGCAAACTGCCGACTTCAAAAGTAGCTCTTGGTTCAAAAAAGGTTGGGCACCCCTGACTTAGACAATGTCAAAAAGAGCAGAGAGAATAACCAAAGTCCATCCAGCTCACTCTCTATTCAGACACACAATAATCTGAGACACAGCAGAGCAGTGTCATCACCCACAGAACAAGGTTTTTAATGGTTTTTCCCTGCCAAAGTTAAACTGATGGCAAAAGAAAACTATGGAGCGGGTGCAATAACACTGTGTAAATCTATTCTATGTCTATTGTTATCAACTTTTGTGCTTTCAGTGCTATCTGACATATTTGACTACAACTGAGAGAGCTCTGCAAACAAATTGGAGTGCAGGTTTAAATGCCAAAAAAGTTCTTTGAATCTTTGAATATATAACAGCTGAGAGACCTTAGAAATGCAAAATGGCTATAACTAAAACAATGAGCTAAAAACAGCTGAAAGTGTGACGCCTCCCGTACCACAGGAGATAGCCCAGAATGGTATTTCTGAAGATTAACCAAAATAGTTACAACACTGACATTTCTCCACATCAGATGATCTGAGTTTAAAGTCAGATCTAGGATCCTGTGAGGAATGCTGGGTCTTTCATTTAGTTGTGGTTGGCTTAACTTTGTGTGTRATTTCTGGTTCTGTGTGATGACTCAGCTGTTCTTACAGTAAAAAAAAGACCAATAAAAAGCTGTTTGTTACTGGAATCACTCACCAGGGGTTTGCTGGTAAGACAGATGCTAATAAACATCTGTGTTTAAAGACCACAGTCTAATAGTTTGGATCATTTGATAACATTATTGTTATGATGTTTGATAAATTACTAGCTGATGTTTCTATTTATCTGTTCAAGAAAAGAGTTTCAGCTTCATTTTGTCTGTGTAACAACAGTAGAGTTGTATTTTAGTGATAGTAGATAAAGATATTTTATCAACAAGGTGTAAAACCTCAGATTGCTGATCTGTCACCACCTCCACCACAAGTCCCAGAGGCTTTGATCAGTTTAAGGCATGTGATTTAGTCAGCTGGAAAATAGAGTTAATATCATGAAAACATCTTCCAGACCAAACGTTGTTACAACTTATTATATATATAGTTTTTTTCATGAGGTGTGGATCAGGGTTGAATGAATGAGATTCTGGATACAAGTGCCTGAAATGGTCTTCTTGTGATTGGGTTCAGTTTTAAAGACGAGGTGTGGAGCTCCATCATTTGAGAGAAACTCAGCAGAACTGCTGCTCGACTGCAAGAGTCGTCAGCTCAAGTGGTTTGGASATCCGAYGCCTCCTGGACACCTCCCTCTGGAGGTTTTCTGAGTATGTCCCACTGGGAGAAGACACCAGGYAGATACAGAACTCAAGGTACATCTACCATCTCTGGTCTGGGAATGTGTTCCCTCAAGAGGAGCTGAAGGGGGAGATGTCTGAGTTTTCTCTCCTGGACCTGCTGCCTCTGCGATCCAGCCAAGGATAGGTGGAAGAAAGTGCATGGATGAACACAGCCAGTTCAGGGGCAGAGTGCTTCACTTCATCGAGTTAACTTGATTCTTGGAAAATCTTAACTTTATTATCAGGATTACAAACTGAATCTCAAAACTGGGAAAYTAAAAGAGCTCCTACTCTGAAGCAAATCTAAAATATAACTGATATAATATGTTTTGTTTTACCAGAAGACATATTGTTTTCTGAATCAATGTTCAGCCTAAAAAAACATACTTTAACCAGTTTCAATGTCTACAGTTAGAACTCTGTGCCATCTTCAACAATAAAGTGTAAAACAAAACAAAAACTAATGCAACAGTATATTTTGTGTTGTTTGGCTTACGTCTGGACATGGTTTGGAGCCCAGTCCTGCTGGGCCACATGCGGCTTCCATGACAACTGAGTGCCACCAGATGTGAGACGATGGCTGTTTTTCCAAAGCCCAGGTTGCCAGTGATCACCACCCCCCTGTTGGTCTTTGGGTCGTCAATGCGGAGATGGGCGTCCATTTCCTGGAAAAGCCACTCCCTGCCCGTGAACAGCCAATCAGAYGGGAGCCCAGGAATTTCAAACTGGAGCGGCTTCAGGCTGATAGACGGAGTAAAATGTACTGCAGGAAAAAACAAGAGTAACTTTGTCATAATGTGGTAGACTAGAAAAAATGAATATTTTCTGTTAAACCACAATCTGAATGATGCATAATAGCTGAAATTGCAATGTTGTCTGAAATGTTTGATAAAGAAAAGGAAGTTGAAGAAGAGGAGACACAATGAGCAAAAGGATGAACAGTAAAAGCTGTTAAAAAATAGGAAGATTAAAAGAATATATAAATCCAGGTGTGTAAAGATACATCTAAATTATGGTCCAGTAAATGTCTTGGTATGGTGGTCACGGTTGGCTTCAACAGGAAAAAGATAAAAGTTATTTTTTTAAAGAGAATAACTGTCAAGAAGCAGAGACAGAAAAACACAGGACCTTGGTAAGCTCCATGTTAGCTGGGTGTTTACAGCAATTTACAATTTATCAGCCGATAACTTCACCATCAAAAAAAGTCATATTGTACTGTTGTAAACAGCAACCAATACACCACATCAAAAACAAAAGGTTTGATAAACTCCAGTAAGTTATTTCTTAAATATAAAACAGAAACCAAGGAGAGCTTGTTTGATTTAGTTTGACCTAAACCTGATACCAAACAAAACACAACACAGAACTCAAAAAAGATTTCTTATTGTGACAAAATAAAATAAATAAACTTAGCTTCTCAGCTAGCTGAGTGCTACTGTGGAAAAAAATAATACTTATTAAATATCTAAATGACTTACACCCAGTGGCGGCTGGTGGAATTTTCTCCAGGTGGGGCTACAACTCCAAAATAGACGTATCCCAAAAAGCAATCAAACATGTACTAAGTTGTATCACGCCAGTGTATTTATTAAACAAATGACAATAATAAAACAGCATTATAATGTCACATAGTGTTTTATGTGTGCTTTCCATGGTGGTGAACTGGAGACCTGGAGGAACCTGTCTGCCTGCAGCTCTGATCAGATGCTTGTGAATGGCTCAAGAT